AGGCTCTCTGGGATCTCCCTCAACGTCCACGGAAAACGTGGTCCAGAGTGTGCCGTCCTGTTCCCCCTCCTCCGCCTCCTCCTCCTCCTCCGTTCTCCTCGTTCTTCTCGTTCTCCTCCTCTGCCTCCTCCCCCATACTCTTTTCCCCCCTCCGTGGGCAGGAGCTCCCGGGCGCGCGGGCTCCCGCGAGAGCAGAACCTGTGCCGATCGGGGTGCCCAGGAGCTGGCTGCCACCGAAGCCTGGACGGCCACGCCGCCCTTCAGCGGCCACGCTGGCGGCTGCCACCACGCCGGGCCGATCGCGCGATGCGGTGGCCGAGCCGGCCGAGAGCGATCGGCGCCGCGCGACGTGCGGCCGCGACCGACGGGCGGTGAGGCCGGGGCGCTCCGCAGCAGGCAGGGCTCCAGGGGGCCACCGGCCAGGGTGGCGGCCGCGGTCCTGGGCGGGCCGGCGGCTCCCCGGGGGGCCAGCTGGCAGCGCGGGGCCCATGGGGTCCAAGCGCGGTGGGGCGGTCCCTTTCGGGAGCTGTGAGGGCTCCCCGGGGCTTCGCTGCCGCCTGCCAGCCACGGTCTGCCTCGACGACTGGGTCAAGATTTGGAGCGCTCTCGGGGAGCCTCTCGGGGCCCTCTTGGGGGCCTTCCGTCTTGAGCGTTCTGAGGCCCGAGAAGGCGAGCGTGTGGAACTCGGAAAAAAAAAGGACCCACAAGAGGCTGATGCAGTCCGCCTCTTCGGGGCCTCTTCGCTCTCGGGGGTCCGCCTGGGACCCTCTTGAACCGCCCTGGGTCCACAGCCATCCTGGGCAATCTTGGCCGTCTCGGGGGCCATCTTGGAACTGTCTTGGGGCCAGGGCGCGCCAGTCCCGCGGCCGCTGGGGGCCTGGACACCCATTTCACGCACCAGGGGAAGTCCGCGCCGCAACACTTCCCCGCTGGCTTGTGGAATAAGGGTGAATAAGGGTGCCTGGAAGTCTGGCGTTGCAGCCACCCTGTCTAATCGCGGAGAGGAGGAAGAGCCACGGGTCAAGATCCTTGTCGGGCTTAGCCTTGAATCTGAAGGTCGGGGGGCATCTTGCGACCCTCGACGGGCCGTCTCTGGGGCCCCCCCGAGGCCCTTTGAGACATGCGCGAAAACCCCAATGGGGCCCGGCCCCGAATCTGAAGGCCTTGCGGCGCCCCAGCGTGCTCTCCGAAGCCTCTGGGGCCCCCCTGCGGCCCTGCTGGCCCCCCAGGAGGCTGCTCGGAGGCCGAAGGTGGCGAGACGCCCGGTTGGGGCATCCCTGGGAGGCCCCCGGGGGCCACCACGGGGACACAGCTTGGCGCCTGCCGTGGGGCCCCTGCCGGTGGGCCACCCTCGGAGGCCTCGGGCGCCACCTCGGAGGCCTCCCCTGCCCTGCCCGGCCCTGCCTGGCCCTGCCCCGTCTCCAGCGGGCACCGCGGCCCCACGACGTGAGGGGGGATTCTCCCCCAGGGGTCCTCGACCTCCGCTCAGACTTTGGGTGGTCTGTGTCTTGTCGCCTTTGTCGCCGTCGATGGGCTCCTGGAGCCTCTGGGCTCCAGATGGCCCCCCCAAATGGCCCAAGAGGGGCCCCAAGAGGGGCCCCAACGAGCCCCAAGATGGCTCCCACGGCTCCCAATAGCACCCCAAACGAGCCCTTCAGAGGGCTAGAAGCGTTTTTTGGCGGGCTCTGAAAAGGGAGGAACGCTTTGCGCTGGATGCAGAGGAGTAGCAAAATGTCGGAGTATAGCGCTCACCCACTTTCCTTCTCGCGATAGCTCGCCTACGAACCGTGTCTGGACGAGCTGGTACAGTCACCGTGCTGCCGTGAGGAAGGCTGAACAAGGCACGCAATCGGCTTTTCTGGCCAAGGCGTCTTTAAGGGACGGCCCGAAAACATATAGAGGCCTCCTAGATGGGGTCGGAGTAGATGGGCTTGGTGGATCGCGCCGCATCGCCGATACATCGGCGATGTATCGGCGATGCACTGGTGATGCAACGTTGACAGCGGCGGTGCATCGGCGACGTCGACGTGGAGCAAGGCGGGCTCCACATCGAGCCGCATCGCCGATGCATCGGCGATGCGGCGCGATCCTCCGACCCCATCTACTTGGACCCTATCTTGGAGGCCTAGAGCATAGTCCTTCCTAAGCCCAAGGCGGTGTCCTTAATTTCAGCGTCTTGACTGTAATGCTACTTTTTTGGTTGGCGGCTCCGAGGCGGCGGACAGGGAGCGGTCAAGTTGATCCGGGGCGCGGTACCAACGAATTGACGAGAAGATTGCCGCCGCAGGGGCGGGCGGAACTCGTACGTGGCGCGAGATTGCCGCATATTCCAGCGGACAACACACGCAGTGGCGCATGCACGTGCCAGGGGCAAAATGTGCCTCAGTGAGACGCATTTCAGCGTCAACTGGTGACCGGCCCAAACAGCCCTGCTTGTGGGGAAGCAAAGGCGCGGCAACCGGCAACGGAACGGGGGGGAGGAGTCGCTACGGCGGCAAGCTCCAGCCGAACCGCAGTTGGAAGCGAGGCCAAGACGGACAGCAAGGCACTGTAAAGGCCACGGGCAGAACGCGAGCCCGAGTGACCAAAGACCAGGCGGGACCCACGTGTGTGCACACAGAGCCAGGCCGTCCTAGACCACTGAAAGGGGGGTGAGCGCGAGCGAAAGCAACTAACTCAGACTCACTGCGGCTCCACGAGCATACGATGGTGCGGTGAGGGAGACCCGCCTCACCAAGGCTCACTGAAGCTGAGGTGTGGCTGATCCGCGTCAGAACGTCATCCAGTAGAGGCAGACCACGACTGCAAGGATACGCGAAGCGTCAAGAGGTATCGGTATCGGCGTGATGCCCCGAAACGAGGCGGCTACGTACGTGCATGTGGAGCCCTCGGGGCTTGAATAATTAGGAAATGCCCATTCGGTAGCCGTGGCAGAATCTCAATCTGCGCGTGAGTTTCTTCCGGTGCCTATGTAGTTCTGACTCTTCCCCTCCGCCTCCCCCCCTCTTCCAGTTGAGATGAGGCAGAGGGTTGCTGTCAATCGCGCGTTGGCACTGCAGAGACGGAGGGTCAAGGAAAGAGAAGTCTAACGGATTCCCGTGTGCCTCGGCGCTTTGCTTTCTAGTCGGGCCCCTCCTTCAGTGAATGCTGCTGTGAACTCTCTTGTGCAAGCCGACCTTCACAGATGGTTCATGACAGCCGTCAGCAATTCGTGACAAGTTCAGGTTGTAGACTTGAGTTTTCTGGTAGTGGTGCGGGGGAGGTGTTGATGTATGTTTAGACTGTGTGTTTTAGTTGCGAATTCAGCACTGTCGTTCTTTAAGGCAATCGCGGTCTAAGGAGTGATATCCATACTACATGTGGCCACCTATGTAGCCACATCTTCCTTTTTTTCTCCTCTCGCCCGCCCCCCGCGCCCGCCGCATACGTCTTGTCAAGTTCGACAAGGCCAGCGGCTTCAATGAGGCGTGCGGGTGGGGCTGGGTGGGAGGTCGTTTCGTTCGCTCTGGAGAAGTCTCGGCTCTCTCTGGTTTTTCTTTTGATTTCTCTCCCTGGGTTCAGGTCCCGGGGCGGAAGCGAGCCCTTTGAAGGCGTCCTGTGCTGTAATGCTAATTAATGCTGCATCCCCTCGGCTGATGGTCCCGTGACGGGCCCTTCCGCGAACAGCTGCAATAATAATCATCCTCACTATCATCATCATCATCATCATCATCATCATCATCATCATCATCATCACCATCACCATCACCATCACCATCACCATCACCATCACCATCACCATCACCATAACCATCACCATCACCATCACCACCATCATCACCATCATCACCATCATCACCATCATCATCATCATCATCACCATCACCATCACCATCACCATCATCACCATCACCATCACCATCACCATCACCATCACCATCATCATCATCATCATCATCATCATAAATGTCAGAATCATCACCATCATCACCACCATCATCATCTCCACCACCATCACCACCACCACCATCATCATCAATATCATCATGATCATGATCATCATCGTCATCGTCGTCATCGTCATCGTCACGTCATCGTCATATTATGATGATCATCGTCATCGTCATCATCATCATAATCATCAACATCACAAACACCACCATTACCATTATTATCATCAGCAGCAGCATCACTATAACCATCATCACCATCGACGTCATCGCCATCGTGCTTGCCTTCAACCTCATCGCCTAGATTTATCTCCCCATCAGAATCGTCCCATCATTCCTCCTCATCCACCTCTTTGCTTTTGATTCCCCGCATCGCCTTCCTTCTCCTTCTTCTCCTCCCTCCTCCTCCTCCTCCTTCTCCGGCTGAGTCTTGAAGATGCTTAGTTTATCGAAAAGTCGCACGGCGTGAGGGAAAATAGCTTGAAGTCATCTCAAGATCGCAGCCTCACCTTCCTTCTACTTCTTATTCCCCCTCCTCCTCCTCCTCCTCCTCCTCCTCCTCCTCCTCCCTCCCAGCGTGTGACCGTATCCAGAACTCCGACGTCATTTTTATTCATTGGCATTAGCCGTTTGAAGTTTGGTGTTCTTACCTTGGGCGCCCGTACCTCTAGATCCCGCCCCAGGACCTGCTTTCGCATTCCACTCGAGGCTCCAAACCTTGGAAAGCCGATCCTCTTGACTGTGGCCTTCCTTGACGAAGGAAGCCTGGGTACCAGACCACGGCCCGCCTCGAGGAACGCTTGACCGTTTGCCGCCCGCCTGGCCTGAGCGGCGGGAAGACGAAGAAGCGCACCTGCCAGAGGCCCGGAGGGTAAGACGACGGCAGAAAGAACACAGCATCGCGCGAGGAGAAGTCGGGAACCTCGCAGAACCAGCAGGTTTGGAGGGTGCACCGAACGCCGCGCCCGATCCAGAGCGCTCCTCGTCGTGGACGCCCTTCTCGTCGTCGTCGTCGTCGTCGTCGTCGTCGTCGTCGTCCTCGTCGTCGTCCTCGTCGTCCTCGTCGACGTCGTCCTCGTCGACGACGTAGTCCTCATCCTCGTTGTCGTCGCCGTCGCTTGCTCGTGGGGGCCCCGCCGCGGCCGGCCGCGGCGGCGGCATCGCCACAGGCGGCGGGCCGTGCGCTCCCAAACGCCCGTCTGCCCAGAGGAAGGCAGCCGGCCCCCCTCCCCCCCCCCGCCACTCGGCCGCCCTGGGAAGCCTCCAGGTTCTCCTGTGGCCTCCGGGCCCCCCCCTTCTCTTCCTTCTCTTCCTCTTCCTCGACTCCTCCCCTCCTCGCTGCTCTCTCCTTCTTCTTCCTCTCCTTCCTTCCTTCTCTTCCTTCTCTTCCTCCTTCCCCCCCTCCTCGCTGCTCTCCCCTCCTCCTCTTCCTCGCCGGGATCCGTCGGCGCCGAAAGGGCAGAGGTCGGCTCGGATGGACCTGTGCATCGGATCGGCCCGCACGAACACGGAATCGACATCGAACCGGATCGGCTGCGCGAGGGTGCACGACGGCGCCATGCAAGCGTCGGGCGCATCGGATCGTCGGCACGTCGGAGCCGAATCGGATCGAGCGGGCCAGAGTGGGCATCGGATCGGATCGCTCGGATCGAGATGGACCCTGATCGTCGTCTTTGTCCTGCTGCTGCTCCTCCTCCTCGCTAAGGCGGGCAAGCCGCGCATCCAACATGTAGCGTTGTTTCCATCTCCTCCTCCTCCTCCTCCTCCTCCCTTACCCTTCCTCTCTTGTTCCCTCTCCTCTTCCTCCTCCTCCTCCTCCTCGTCCTCCTCCTCCTCCTCTCCTCCCCGTCTCCTCCTCCTCTCCTCCCCTTCTCCTCCTCCTTCTCCTCCTCCATCGCCCTCCCCCTCCTTCTTCTTCTTCTTCTTCTTGTTCTTATTCTTCTTCTTAGTGCGAGGCCGCCAGGTCGGCTCCGCGGGCAGCAGCTGGCGGCGAGCCAGTCCTCCTCCTCCTCCTCCCCCTCCTCCCCAGGCTGTGACCAGGCGCGGGCGAGGCCGCCAGGAGGAGTGCCCTGCCCCGTCCCCTCCTCGCTCTCCTCTTCCTCACCCTCCTCCGCCCCCTGGCGAGCAGTGGCGACCGCCGACGCCGGGCCGCCGCAGCAGTGCAGGACTCAAACCTCAAGGAAAGCGGCATCTTCAGCCACAGCGCTGGGATCAGACCGTGCGAGAAAGAAAGCAGTGGCAGCCGCTATTGCCAGTGCGAGAAAGGACAAACACTGGCAGGAACCTCTGGCAGCAGGTGCAGGAGCCAAACACCATCAGCTACACCGATGGAGTCAACTCGTGCGCAACGATGGGCAGTGGCAGCAAACGCTGTCAAGGCGAGAAGGGCAACCAGTGGCAGCAGTCGTTACCGATGCGAGAAGCAACACATGGGCCGACATCATCAATTACAGCGCTGGGAGCCGCGTGTGAGAAAGCAGAGCAGTGGCAGCACACTGTGTTGTTACTCAGCGAGGTAGAAGGCGACGGTAGAGCCCGATGTCATCAGCGACAGCATTGAGATCGGGGCTTGCGAGAAGGGCTCAGTGTGATGAAGGCGAGACCGCGCGGGCCAACGCTCTTAGAACCACAGGGCTGGGGCGACTTCGTGCGTGTGAGAAGGCCGAGCAACGGCAGCAATATCTGTCGCTACTCAGCGAGATGGAAGGCACATATAAAGCCCGACGTCATCAGCGACAGCGTTGGGATCTGGGCGCGCGAGGAGTAAACCACATCAGCCTTAATACTGCTGGGGCCAGGTCGTGCGAGAAGACAACCAGTGGCAGCTCGAGTTGGCAGTGCGAGAAGGTAGGCAGTGGCAGCAGGTGTTGGCGGCAGGCTCTGTCACACATCATCGGTATGAGGAAGGTTAAGTTCGAGCTCGATGTCAGCAACTACACTGGGGAAGGCGAAGCTAGAGCCCGATGTCAGCTACAGCGCTGGAGTCAGGACGCGCGAGACAAGCGCAAGGCGAAGCTGGAGTCCGACAGTTCACAAACCAGTGCTGGGAGCGATGTGTGCGAAAAGTGGGGAAAGTGGCAGCAGCCTCTGTCGCTACTCAGCGAGATAGCGGAGGCAAAGCAGCAGCCAGACGTCATCAGCCACAGCGTTGGGAGACCAGCAACCTCTGTCGTGCTCAGCGAGAGGCGGGAGGAGCAGCTAGAGCCCGATATCAGCTGCAGCGCTGAAATTAGAGGTCGCGGAAGGGCGGAGAGCAATCCTCAGCTACGGTGCAAAGATCAGCTTGAGCAAGCAGGGGCGTCACTTCTCCAGCTACAATGCTAAGGTGCGCGCGGACGCGAAATGTTGGGGAGATAGCTGGAACCAAACGTTTTCACCTACAGTTCCGGTAAGCCCTTCAGGGCTACAGTTCATGATGCAGCCCTTGTCGCCCAGGATAGGCCTGGAGGTTTGTGCTGGCTCTTTTCATCGTCTCAGTCGGCACGCACACGGTTAAGAGTATCAGGTCACTCGCATCCTCATCCCCTTCCTCGTCCTCCTCCTCCTCTTCCTCCTCCTCCTCCTCCTCCTCCTCCTCCTCCTCCCCTCGTTCAACAACAGAACAGGCGGGAGACACCTGCCCCAGCAACGACGGCGCTCCTCCAACTGCCCTCTTGCTTTTTCAGTCTTCGAGCCGTGAGGCTTGCTCGAATGAGAGCATGAGTGAAGGAAGCGTAGCAAATGAGGAGCAAGATGATGAGGACGAAATCGATGAGGACGAAAACCGGAGGGGAAATGATACAACGATAACGAGGTTGGGGAAGACGAGGACGAACGGTAGTGATCGTAGCCAAGAGCGCGAGTCTCCCGACGAGCGGCAGGCTAGCGGAACAGCAGGGCACGCGGATCCGGGAACGATGACGAGAGGGAGAAGGAGGATGACGATGGCGACGATGATTACGAGGCCGAGGAGGAGGAGGACGAGGAGGAGGAGGAGGAGGAGGAGCGACCGTCGCATAGGAGGATAATGAGTAGGACAAGGAATGGGATGAGCTGGAGGAAGAGGAGGAGGAAGAGGAGGAGGAGGAGGAGGAGGAGGAGGAGGAGGAGGAGGAGGAGGAGGAGGAGGAGGAGGAGGAGAGGAGGAGGAGGGGAGGAACAAGAAATCTGGAGCCGTGGGGCGGCAATCGAGTGGAGCTCTGGCAGCCGCGAGGGGTCTCCCCCGGCTCTTCCGAGCGGTGTCCCCATACCGAATATGCATATGACGGGGAATCGCTCGGCCTTGCCACACGGGTGGGGGTGACGAGGGAGTTGGGCGGGGGGAGTGAGAGAGGGAGGTATGGAAAGGATGAGGGCCAGGTCATGGAGAGATGGAGGAAATGACAGGAGCAGCGAACGGATGGAGAGGGAGAGTGAGCGAGGGAGGGAGGGAGACAACGATGGGCAACTAAAGGAAGGACATGGCTGGCTCCTGGTTCTCCTCGCGCTGCCGCTGACGCTACTCACTCTCTCCTCCTGCTCCTCATCCTGGGACCCTCTGGAGATCTCCAGATGCCCAACCGTCACAACACAAGATAAAACGAAACCCAGATCCTCGAACCTCCATCTCCGCCTCCCCCTTCTCTCTCTCGTCCTCCCCGCACGCATGAGTACGCACCATGCGCCCCGCCCCCGCAACCTGGAAGTAGACGCGCTCGCCCGTGGATCCCATGATGCTGCGGTAGGTCAGGAACTCCATCGACACCTCGTCGGCCTGCAGCGGGTCCTCCTCTTCGAGCTTCCAGCGTAGGTGCCTCTTCGGGAGCAGGGCGGACCCGGAGGAAGAGGAGGAGGAGGAAGAGGAGGAGGAGGAGGAGGAGGAGGAGGAGGAGGAGGACAGGGAGGACCAGTGCAAACCGAAGACCCATCAACTATGTTGGAATACACCCTCCCTCCAAGCTCCCTCTTCACAAGCCCCTATAAGGATTCATTTCCACTGAGAGAAGGGCCCCGTTGGGGGACAACCGTGTGACAATCCAGCAACGTGGCAAAACACAATTCTCAGGACTTATACGCCACGGATCAAACTGACTGTTGCGTCTTGACGATCTGGAACCGTGCTGGAACGCCCTTCCTGGAACTTCAACACCGCGAATCAACGTAGCTGTTGAGCCCTGACAATCCTGAATCGTTCCCAAACAACTTCTGGTACGCTAACAGTGGGAGCCAGAGAAACTCTTGCAACTGTTTAAAACGAATGTGCGCGGCGCTGAAGCGAGAACCACATTTGAAAAAGAACCGCCCTCAACCCGTGGAACCATTACAAATGTTGAAAATGAATGTGCGCGGCGCCAAAGCGATAACCACATTTTGACAACGGCCTGTTCCTCAATCCGTGAAGCTCTTGCAAATGTTTGAAGCGAATGTGCGCGGCGCTAAGGCGAGAACCACATTTTGGAAGCGACCCGCCCTCCATCAGTGCAGCTGTTGTTAAGAAAAATTGAGGCTCAGAAACTGTAAGGAAGTCTCAAGCGAAACGCCTGGTCCGCCCTTCTGAATGGCCTCGGGGTGTGATAGGGAGGAGTCACCCATAAAGAAAATGACTGGAGGAGGAGGGGTGGGAGAGGGAGGGAGGGGGGGGGGAGGGGGGGGAGGGAGGGAGGGAGGGAGGGAGGAGGAGGAGGGGGAGCAGGGGGAGGAGGCGCAGCATGAGATGGAGGACGATCTCCGCTGGAAATGATGCTCAGGTTGTGTTGGGCTTCGTTTGGGTTGCACCCCGTATTCCCCCCCTTCTTTTCCCAGGTCCCTCCCGTATCCCCCCTTCTTTTGCCCGTATCATCCCTGTTGCCGCCTGGGGTCTGGCGGTGGCTGGCTGGGGGCGGAGGGACCTGGAGATACAGCTACTCCCCAGACCTGTCCTGGAGTGCATTCTGACCAGAATTTCGAGGCGAATCCAGCCGCGGCGTCGAGGGCCTCCCAGGAGGTCCCAAAAGGCGAAAACGGGGGAAAGGTAGTGGTATCGGTACCCGTTCCTCCACTGCCCTTCTGCCCATCCGTCCGTCCGTCCGTCCGTCCGTCCGTCGTCGTCAGCGTCCTCCTCCTCCTCCGCCTCCTCCTCTCCCTCCCCCTCCCCCAGCCCTCCTTTCCTCCTCCACTTCCGCTTCCTCGTTGAGGAGGACGAGGACCCGGAGATCCGATGTCTTGATTTATCCAGTTCCCGAGACGTTTGTTGACGGTCCCGGGGTCTGGCAAAGGCCCCCGGAGGCCGAAAACAGTGAAACACATCCGTCTTGATTTACGCAATGCGCTGGATCTCTGGGGAGGGGTGGGCTTTTGCGATGCAATCATCGTGCGACCAAAAGGAACGCATAATACGGAACGAAGGGCCCAGGCCACAAACAGGTTCTACGACATCAGCCTAAGTAATATCAGCCAGCGTTGACTCCAAATATATAGGAGGACAGGAGGAGGAGGACGAGAGGAGGATGGGAGGAGGACGAAAGGAGGATGGGAGGAGCAAAATCAAGCAAGCCGAAGCAAGCAAGCGCAAGCGAGCAATCACAAGCAAGCAAGAGCCAACGATCAAGTGCAAGCAAGCAAGGGCAAGCAAGAGCAAGCAAGCGAGAGCAAGCACGCAAGAGCAAGCAAGCAAGTGCCATTGGAAAAGGGGGGGGGTGCCATTGCTGACGATGGTGATGCTGATGGGACTGGCGATGATGCAAAGAGGTGGAGGAGCGCTCAGAGGTGGTGCATAGGCATAGGTATAGGCATAGGCATAGGAGCGCTCAGAGGTGGTGCATAGGCATAGGCATAGGCATATGCATAGGCGTAGGCATCGGAGTTAGGAGGGAGGTGTAGGCATAGGCATAGGCATAGCCACAGGAATTGGGGGGGCATAGGAATTAGGGGGGGCGGGGGGCAACGGACCAATTAGTAGGGTTTGAGCTAGGACTCCTACAGAGCAGGCCTATCTGGAGAATGACCCGAACACCCGAGCCCCTCCTCAGCCCCAAGCGGTCCTCATTTCAGCGTCTTGACTGTACGTCGGATCTCTGGGAAGGGCAGGGGTGGGCCCGAGCTTTTGCAGCGCGGCACCGATCCAAGAAATCCGCGCGGAGCCCCGAAAATTAATGTCAATACCCTTTTCTCTCTCGTCGGTGACGCACTGATCCGGGTCAATGCAAGCCCGGGTCAATCGGGCTTGCAAGATCCTGCATGGTCCTGCAAGGTCCTGCGCGCCAGCCCGGGTCAGTGCAGCCCTGGCCCTGCAGGATCCTGCAAGATCCGGCGCCCTGGCTGACCCCCGTTTGCATTGTCCTCCGTGCCTTGAGCGCTGATTTCGACTACGCGCAATGAGCGACTCACGGGTGACCTTTGGTGCGCGGCTTAAGAGGGCTGTGGATTGGCCAAATCCTAAGCGCGCAGACCAGTGCTGGGGGGACCCATGTGAGCCCGCACCACAGGTCACTCTGGCGAAGGGCCACTCTTACATGTAGCCGACGACTTTGGAGATCGGAACCGAATCGAACCGGGCCGGCCGGAGCCGAAACCGCAGCGGATCGACTGGCTCGAAGTTTAGGTCGGGCATGTCCCTCTACAGGTATACATATATATATATATATATATAAATAATAAAAGAAGCAATAACAAATTATAAACACACACAAAACATACTCGAGGAAACTATTCCAAATATAATCGAAACATCGTTCCCAGACTTTTTTTGTGATTTGTAACTATTTTCGAACATTCCTGCTGTAGGGGGACGCGCCCGACGTAACTCGAAGTGCACCCCGAGCGCGGGCGGCCTCTGCGGCAGGCCGCTCTCCGCGCCCGCCGCCGGCAGCACACCCTCCCGCTGGAGCTGCGCGCGGGCCTGGTCGCTGCCGGCCAGGGGCCTCTCGCGGGCGGTGCTTCGGAGAGGAAAGGGAAAGGAGGAGGAGGAGGAGGAGGAGGAGGAGGAGGAGGAGGAGGAGGAGGAGGAGGAGGAGGAGGAGGATGGGGAGGAGGAGGAGGAGGAGGAGGAGGAGGAGGAGGAGGGGGAGGAGGAGGGAGGGGGAGGAGAGGAGGAGGAGGAGGAGGAGGAGGAGGAGGAGGAGGAGGAGGAGGCAGCAGGTGTTGCGCCTGGGCGCAGTCCGCGGCTGCGGTGGCGGATGGCGTGCAGAGTGTCTAATTACGAGATGCTGCGCTCGCCCAAGGTGGCTGTCGCCTTTGCAACATGCTTCCTCTCTATTGATCGTCCTCCACAAGGCTACAGGCACTTGGGAAGAAAGACGCCGCATCGACATTGTGACCGTTGGGAGATTCAGTGTCGCCCTCTGGAGCCCGCGGGCGGCCAGCCACTGGCCTTTGAGCGCCCCGCGGAGGAGGAGGAGGAGGAGGAGGAGGCGGAGGAGGAGGAGGAGGAGGAGAAGGAGGAGGAGGGAAGGAGGAAGAGGAGGATCAGGAGGAGGAGGAGGAGGAAGAAAGGGGGGCGGTGCGCAACGCTGGGGGCCTCTCTCCCGCGGCCTGTGGTGCCCCCCCCCCTCCGCTCCAGCTCCTGTCGCTCCCCCGCTTCCGCTTGTTGCTGCTCGTGCTCGTGTTCCTCCTCCTTCCACCTCCTCCCCTTCTTCCTTTTTCGTGCAGCTCCTCCTCCACCGTCTCCTCCCTCTCGGACTCCACCCTCCCTCTTTTCGAGGAGACGTAAAAGGTGGGGTGGGCCCAGAGGTGGGGTTAGAGGAGAAGCTCCCTGGACGGCCCCTGGAGAAGGGAAATATCAGTCTCAAGTTGGGCTCGCTCCCCAACGCCACCTTGCCCCCTCAAGCTCCTTCCACTCCAACTCCTGCTATCGCTGTCCGTGCTTGTCCTCCTCCTCCCTCCTCCTCCTCCTCCTCCTCCTTCTTTTCCTTCTCCTTTTCCTTCTCTTGCTCATCCTCATGAGTCCTGCTCATCCGCCACCTCCTTCTCTTCCTCCTCCTCCTCCTCCGCCTCCTTCCCCTCCTCCTATGTATGCAGCTCCCCTTTTTTCGATTGTGCGCAACACGATAAGAGGTCCTTTTTGGGAGTTCCAGGCCCGCTATGACACACGTCCGCGGGTGGGGGAAACATCAGCGAAGTGGGAAGGGATGACTGGGAGGGACAAGATGCCAAATATGGCGCGAACGCACATAGCCTGCCCCCCTCCCTTTTTCCTCTCTATCCTCCTACTCCGGGGTTGGGCGATGGGAGGGGGCCAACCAGAGCCCACTAGAGCAACAACCAACGGCTTCATCATGCCTAACAGCCACGGAACAGCAACGGGACAACCAGTGGATAACCACCGGACGGCCACAGACAACCAGATCTCTCTCTCTCCCTCTATATATGTATGTGACATGTGCATGCGTATGTATGTGTGTATGTGTGTATGTGTGTATGTGTGTATGTGTGTATGTGTGTATGTGTGTATGTGTGTATGTGTGTGGGTGTGTATGTATGTATGTATGTATGTATGTATGTATGTATGTATGTATGTATGTATGTATGTATGTATGAAGACCTATATATACGACCACCCTTCGGGTGATAAGGAGTTGTGGGGCGGGGGGGGAGAAGGGGGGAACCAACATTTGACTCAATCGATCTCACTATCGATCTCACTCAACGGGACACCACGGGACACCACGGAACACTTGTCGATCTCAGTATCGATCTCACTCAACGGGACACCACGGGACACCACGGGCCACCACGTGACACCACGGGACACCGCGGAACACCTCTCGATCTCACTATCGGTCTCACTATCGATCTCACTCAGCGGGACACTATAGGACACCACGGGACACCTCGGGACACCACGTCGATCTCACTATCGATCTCACGATCGATCTCACTATCGATCTCGCTCAGCGGGACACCACGGGACACCTGTCGATCTCACTATCGATCTCACTCAGCGGGACACCACGGGACACCACGGGTCACCTCGGGGCACCACATCGATCTCAATATCGATCTCACTATCGATCTCACTCAACGGGACACCACGGGACACCACGGGACACCTGTCGATCTCACTATCGATCTCACTCAACGGGACACCACGGGACACCTCGGGGCAGCACATCGATCTCAGTATCGATCTCACTATCGATCTCACGACCGATCTCACTCAATGGGACACCAAGGGACCGGCCGCGGCCCAGCCACAGGAGGATTTCCTCTCGCCCGCCCACGCAGCTTCGCCTCGCCCGCACGCATGCACGGCACGCACGACACGCACCCGAAACCGAAATCGATTTCCCGGTAGGGGGGTCTCCGTTTCACGTCGGACTCACCCCTCAACCTCCGATATATATATATATATATATATATACACACATAAATAACGCTATACACATTCTCCAAACAATGCTTGCACTTAGGAATTCTTGCTTTTTTTACGGAACTGCGCCTGTGTGCCGGTATCCCGTAATTCTTGAAGCACGCTTTTTGGGGTCCACGCTGGCTAACACACATGCGTATATATGTGTACATACATATATATATATATATACATGCATATAGAATTAGGTATGTCTATGTATCGGTCTCGATCTCACGATCAGTCGGTCTAAAGATCCCACTGTTTATCTATCGTCTCTCTAAAGATCCCACTATTTGTTTCTCGGTCTCACTATCTATCCACAAACAGGACAATCGCAAGACAATCATGGGACAGAAGCATGACACCCGCGGGACAACCACGGGACACCCTCAAGATACCCCCAGAGAAACGTCGGGACAACCGCAGGACAATCACGGGACAACCACAGCACAACCAATGGACAGACGAAGAACAATCGCGAAACAACCACGTGACAACCGCGGGACAACCAGAGATAAGCCATCGGAAAACAAACCATCAGGACAACCAGCAACACAACCATCGGGGCTCACTGTCATGCGCCGAACTCGCTTTGAATCAAGCTGTAGATCTCGCGATCTATGGTCTCGCATCTCACCGCAAGCTGGCCTCACTATTTGTCGGTGCCACTGTATATCTATCTATCGGTATATCTCAATCACACTCTACCTAGCGATCCCAGCGCTCATCGATCAGTCTCATCTTAGGTCGGGCATGACCTCCTACAGGCGGGTTTCGGACGAAACATGGGGAAAAAAGACAAACCCGAAAATAACCAAAACATGCTCAAAAGTACTAAACCATCGTCCCCATGCTATTTCTTCATTATCTTTGAATGCTGAATTAAGTCTCATCATGTGTAAACAGACGCAGGACAACCTCAAAACAACCACGGGACAACCACGGGGCAACCATCGGGACAACCACCGGGACAACCACGAGGCAACGACGAGACAACCACGGGACAACCAGAGGTCCACCGCGGGACAACTCCGCGCACGCCCCGGCCAGCTGGGGGGAACAAGTTGTCCTGCACTGGGCCCAGCGCTACGTCGGGCCTGTCCCTCTACAGGAGGGATACCCAAAAAATCAAAACATGACATGGGGACGATTTCACTATTATTTTTTTGTGACAATTTTCAATATTTGTGGACTATTTCTGATATTGCCGTCTTTTGACTATTCTTATTTTTCGCGCAAAATCCGCCTGCAGGGGGACGTGCCCGACCCAAAGCCCAGCCGGGGCAAGAACCCTCGCGCAGCCTCGCTTCGCCTCGCCCAAAAACGAAGGCGCCACGCACTCTGCACGCAGACACCGGCTTGGGCCCTCCGCTTCGGTCGGGCATGTCCCCCCACAGGCGGCTCGGAAGGCCTCGGAATCGCCGTCCGCCGTCACAAGCCGAGACATACATGAAGAAATCCAAACCGAAATTGGAATCGAACCGAAATCGGTACCCTCAGGATCGAGCCGGTTCGACTCGGCCAAGTCGCAGTGGGTCCTGCCGGTCCTGGGAGGCCAGCGGAGCACCGTGGTCACGTCATAGGCTTCGGTCGGGCATGTCCCCCTACAGGCGGATTGTGGACGAGAAAAAAAAATAGTCAAGACATATTCAACAGTACCCAACAATGGTAGAAACATCGTCCCCAGACTATTTTTGAACTGTTTTCGAATATTCCTCCTGTAGAGGGACACGCCCAACTTAACACTCCGCTCGCCAGTGCTCCGACGTCCATGCCCCGTGCATTCTTCAGTTTCGTGCGTGCCTTTTTTGTGGCTCGAGGGTCCAGGATGCTCCTCGAGGGCCATCGCCGAGGCAAAAGCTGCACACGTCCGAGCGGTGCCAGGACTCCGCTTCTCTTGGCCTCGGCCCTCCACCCTTCCGACTTTATTGGCTGCGGATGTCTTGGGTCGGCGCTGCCCCCCACTGGCGGCGCCTCTGAGGCCGCCCCGGGCGCGCTTCGAGCGCCAGGGTAGCGGGGTCTGGCGCCGACCGAAGAAATCCACGCGGACCCCCGACAAGTCATTCTTATGCTTCCTGGTCTCCTACACACGCTGCCGGCGCCTCCCAACTTACGCCTCCATCCCGATCGCAGGGGCCGCAAGAGGAGGGCTGGCGAGTCAACCATGAGTGGCATCTTTGTGCCGGGCGCCTCGAGGCGCCCTGAGCGACCATGCATCGAGCAATACGCCTGGCGGCGGGGCCGGAACCAGCCGCACGCAGCAACTTTCGCACCCCCGCCTTTTCCCCCTCTCGTCTGGTCCCTCCGCCCCGGCCAGGACAACCTCTGGAGCCCTCCCGCATCCCGCCCCCAGAACTTCCGCGAGAACCTCCCGAGGGCCTCGCTGAACCCTACGGTTGTCCCCTGTAGCCTCCCTCCTCCCTCGGCTGTCCTTTTCCCCTCTCCTGCCCCTGTGAGAGGGGAGGTGGCGGTGTGCAGCTTTGAGCCCCCTGGCCTCTGCATCGGTCCAGTGTACGCGCGAGCCACCTGCGCGGGCGCTCAACGAGAAAGAAGAGACGTGGCCAGTGGTGGTATCGGCAGTGATGGCCCGGGCCTCCTGGCGTCCCGACGAAAACTGCGAGGGGCACTTGTAGAGGAGCAGTGCACAGCATAAACATGCACTTTCGGAGGTCAGTGTGAACTTCTTGGCTCGGCGCTGGGTCCCCCTCCTGGCGCGGGGACCCCGTGCCGATCCGAGAAATCTGCGCGGAGCTCCGAGTTTCATGCTTATGTCATGGCTTGTTCCCCGGCTGCACCCCGAGACTACTTTTTTTATGGGGACCCGACGCAGCTGCGATCGTCTGACTGTGGATGTGCTCTGGTGTTCCTGCCTGCCGCCCTGGCAGCCAATGCTGACTGCGAAGGGGACGGCCAGCAGACACCTGAGAGATGCTGGCCCCACCGCAGCGTTCGAGACACCTCCGGGCTCGCGTCTGGTCCAGGGTGGGCCCCGGAGCGGGCACGGAACGGGGGCGAAGACGAGACGAGACCGAGGACGGCCCACGAGATTTCGCAAAAGCAGCGCCCTGGTCTGCCCCCCCTGGTCTGAAGGTGGACGGGGACGACTGCGCTCAGGGCGAACTGGCGGAGGGCAGAGTCTGGGAGGCTCTGGCTGGAGGAACTGCACGGCGGGCCAGACGGTTGGGCACCACGAAACGAAACGGATCGGAAACGGAACGAGACGGAAATACTGGGCCAGGCATGACGGGAACATCACGGAACGATCGGACTCCAAACGGGACCACCAGTGAAAACGTCAGCCCGAACCGATCTGGCACACGCGTACGCACGCACGCGAGTATGCAGTACACATCTCGAGCTAGAATCCGCGTCGCCTCTCGAGCCCACTCCTCCTTCTCCTACTGCAGGGTTTGCTGCTGTAGCTGCTTCTACTCCTTGGGCTTTCTTGCTGCTCCTCCTTATTTTCGTTATTCATTCATGGGTTATCATCCCACTCTCTTCTCCAATTCACTGTTTTCCAACGCGCGCCCCCCTCTTCGCCCCTCCTCTTCCTCCTCGAACCAGGCAGAAGGCCCCCACCCCAAAATCCACACCCCTCGTTCGGAAACCTCCAAGAATATGCGTTAGCCAGCGTGAACCCCAAACTGTGTATCCTAGCGTTAGGTCGGGCATGACCCCCTACAGGCGGATTTTGCATTACAAATTCAAAGTCGTCAAACAATGCTCCAACATTGCTCAAAAATACTAAAAAAATCGTCCCAGACTATTTGTTTTGACTATTTTTGAATATTCCACCTGTAGAGGGACGGGCCCGACTTAATCCTAGCATACTCTGCAATCTGTGCGACGCAGCCTATGCGGTGCAATCTGTGCAGTGCCAATCAATGCGGGCCAATCTTCGCATTGCAACCGATGCGGGGCAAATCGTAAGTCGCACCACATTTGGTTGCACCAGGCTATTACGTGCTGTGCCTTTCCGTGCTGTGTTATGCCCCACTCTGCGATGACAGGATCTACAATGCTATGCTGAGCCGAGCTATGCTATGTGCTATGGTATGCGAGTGGACGTGTGCGAATGGGCGAATGCAAGTGGCGGCGACGGGCGGCGACGGGTGGCTACGAGCAGGGCCCCGTGCAAGTGTCGGCGACGGACGGCGGCAGCGGGCGGCGACAAGCGGCAACAGGCGGCGACGAGCTGGCCGAACAGGCACTAAGGCCCAACTACCTTAGAACGCAATGAAGAACCCCTGAGTGCAAGCATTGTGTGGGCAACAAAATCTAGAACCTCAGAAAGCATGAGAGCGACTCCTCCCTCCTTCATCCTTCGCCTCCTCCCCCTTCCTCTGCTGCTCCTTCTTCTCGCCCTCGTCCTTCTCCTACAAGTCTCGTCGCAACTAACGCGGCGCCACCGTATATCTTTATACCATGAGTCATCGTGGAGTGTCTCTTCAAAGTCGAAGACTTTGTCACATATTTCGGTGCTCCATGCTCCTCCTCCTCCTCCTGAGGTCTCCAGAGGCCTCCTGAAGCTCCCGCAGGCCTCTCGGTGCCCACCGGACGACCAGAAAGAAAGAAAGGGCCAGAAGCGATCAAAAAATGCCCCTCCCCCGACCCCCGACACGACGGACCCCCCGAAGAAAAACAAAAAAAACAGAAGCGACCAAAAGCCTGGATCCTCACCCGATTTCTTCGACACGACGGGCTCCGCGACCTGTGCTGGCGGGAGCTCGGCCAACGGCCGCCCCTCGCCGATGATGTGGTCGCCGGCGCCAGGCAGCGGCGGGGGGTCGCTCTGGGTCCACTGGTCGCGCAGGTATACGCGCTCCACCACGGTCTGCACCTCTGCGGGCGCTCGGGCAACCGACCCTTAGGGGATTTACGGCTCCTCTTTGCACCACCCATTCCTGCACGTGACGGTGTGCACGGTTTGTGCTCTGTGCCTTCGATAATGGTCGATCGCAATTCGCACTTCCATCTGCTGCTCGCCCCTGACGACCCTCGGCGCCGTTGGCTTACAAATGTGGCCGTACGCAGTGCTCGCTATAAAGCCCACTCCAGTACCTTGCGTCCTTAAGTGCCGCTTTTACACATGTCTTCTACCTGCCTCACTCCGCGCCCGCATCTGTCTTTCACTGCTGTTACCTTGCGCCTCTCCTACCTTCCACCCGCCAATCTCCCACGCATCAGCGCGCCAGGCAGCCTAGGCAACCGTAGCTGTATTGCTACTGACGACATCCATGGGCGGATGGGGTGGCTTGGTTATGGAACGCTGGGGGGGGACTACCAAAGTGAAACTCAGGCGGCCACCGGTGAAGGCGCAAACCTCCCCCACGCCTGGTGGACGCCCCCTTCTCCTCCTCATCCTCCTCCTCCTCCTCCTCCTCCTCCTGTGCTTCCTCCTCCTCCTCCTCCTGATCCTCCTGATCCTCCTGATCCTCCTCCTCCTCCTCCCCCTCCTCCTCCTCCTCCTCCTCCTCCTCGTCCTGCTCCCTCCTCCTCCTCCTCCTCCTCCTCCTCCTCCTCCTCCTCCTCCTCCTCCTCCTCCTCCTCCCCCTCCCCCTCCCCCTGCAGAAGCCAGTCCCCATGTTCGGCTGCCTGGCGTCTGCCTCTCGGCGGGCGAGGGTTCCCCCGGGCGTTGGGGCTGCGGGGCTGGCTGGGGGGGCTTCCTGGGGGCAGGGTTAGGTCGGGCATGCCCCCCTACAGGCGGATTTTGGGCGAAACATAAAACAATACCCCAAATCGTCCCCAGGCTATTTTTTTTGAGGCTAGTTTTGAATATTCCCCCTGTAGAGGGACACGCCCGACTTAAGGTCAGGGGGAGGGGCCCTTGCGCCTTCCCAGCTTGGGGCGGGGGTCGGACACGTCGCAACTCACAACCTGTAAGGCCACCGTGGAGAGTGGCCTCTCATTACATACCTCTCTTATCGCCTCCGAGGTTATCTTGATGTGAGGTTCTCTTGCTCACTACTTTCCCTCCTTGCTCGTCACATCTGCCGCCTGTCGCTTTTACATGCGACAGATCTTCCGCCAGCGGGCAGCCCCAGGGGCTTTCACCCCTGGGGCCGCCTGGCTCACTAGTTTGATCCCCTCCCCCAGCAGCGACCGCGGCGGGGGGGGGATGACCGCGCCAGGATGACCCAAGGACCGAGAGAGAGAGAGAGAGACGTTCCTTCTGTGCTACGCACAGGGGGAGGAATGCGTAGCCCGCCTTCCGCACCGCTCGGAGGCGGGCAAGCTGACTCTCGCCCGCCGACGTAGTGCATCTGGAACTCCGCTGAACGCTCCGACTCTTACTCGCGCGATGCCTGACGATTGTCAGGGCCGGCGATCGCTTCGTAGAGGAGGAGTAGAAGGAGGAAGAGGAGGAGAAGGGAGAGGAGGAGGAGGAGGAGGAGGAGGAGGAGGAGGAGGAGGAGGAGGAGGGGAGGAGGAGGAGGAGGAGGAGAGGAGGAGGAGGAGGAGGAGGAGGAGGAGGAGGAGGAGGAGGAGGAGGAGGAGGAGGAGGAGGAGGAGGAGGGAGGAGGAGGAGGAGGAGGAGGAGGAGAGAGGAGGAGGAGGAGGAGGAGGAGGAGGAGGAGGAGGAGGAGGAGAGAGGAGGAGGAGGAGAGGAGGAGGAGGAGGAGAGGAGGAGGAGGAGGAGGGGAGGAGGAGGAGGAGGAGGAGGAGGAGGAGGAGGAGGAGGAGGAGGAGAAGGAGGAGGAGGAGGAGGAGGAGGAGGAGGAGGAGGAGGAGAGAGAGAGCGCGAGGCCGACGGCGAAGGTTCGTTCCGCCGAGCCGCGCGGCCGCGGCCGCGCGTCTTCAGGGGTCCTGCACCGCATGGCCAGGACCCCTGGCCACGGGGGCCCGCCCGAAGGCAAGGCCCCCGACCGTGAGGAAGCCGACCTCCGAGACGGACTTACCCATGCCGTTCAGGGAGGCGGCCGCCCGGCCGCAACGAGGCGGTCGAGGTTGCCCTGGAGCGCCTGCAGGTCCGCCGCGAAGGTGTCCCTGCACTCGGCCGCGACCGCGGCGCCGCCTGCTCCCATAGCAGGCGTCGCGCGCGCCGCCGCCGCCGCGCCCCAGACCTCGACCGCGTCGGTGTCGGTCCTGCGGCTCTGCCGTCGAGGAGCGGGCGGGGCCACGCCGGGGCCGCGGCCCGCCACCAGCCCGTCCGCCCTCTCGTCGTCCAGCTCCTCCTGCATCTCGGCCGGCTCTGCAGCGGGCGCATCAGCGACCTCCAGGAGACGGAGGCCCGAGGGGGCAGGCTGCGGGCGGCGCTGCCGCCGCGGCCTGCGACCACCCCCCACGGCGCCGTCCATCTCGGCGTCACCGCGCGTCTCGCCGCCGTCGGCGCGAGCAGCGTCGGCCGCGGCCCCGCCGCAGCCCGCAGCGCCGCCGCCACGACCACCACGCCCCCGTCGCCGTCGCCGCCTCCCAGGGGCAGCAGCACCGCCAGGCGCGGGCGCGGGCGGCGGTGTGGCGGGAGCCCGAAAGCTCGCCACCGCCGCGCGCAGCAGGCCCTCGGCGGCCCGCAGCAGGCGCACTCCCGACTGGGAGTGGCCCGCCGCGAGGCCCGCCGCGGCGTGCGTCGCCAGGAGCGCCCCGTGGGCTGCTTCCTCGGCGACGCGCTGCTGCGAGAGCGCACCTGGCATTGCCCCGCAACGAACGCGGCGCGGCCGCGGCCCAGCGATGCGGAGTTGAGCCGGAGGAGGAGGAGGAGGAGGAGGAGGAGGAGGAGGAGGAGGAGGAGAAGGAGGAGGAGGAGGAGGAGAGGAGGAGGAGGAGAGGAGAGAGGAGGAGGAAGAGAGGAGGAGGAGGAGGAGGGAAGGATGAGGAGGAGGAGGAAGAGGAGGGAGGAGGAGGAGGATCAGGAGAGGAGGGGAGGTCAGAAGGAGGAGAAGGAGGAGGAGGAGGAGGAGGAGGAGGAGGAGGAGGAGAAGGAGGAAGGGAAGGGAGGGGGAGGGGGAGGGGGAGGGGGAGTGGGAGGGGAGGGCAGGGGGGGGAGGGGAGGGGGAGGGGGAGGGGGAGGAGGAGGAGGAGGAGGAGAGGAGGAGGAGGAGGAGGAGGAGGAGGAGGAGGAGGAGGAGGAGGAGGAGGAGGAGGAGGAGGAGGAGGAGGAGGAGGAGGAGGAGGAGGAGGAGGTAGGAAGAGGAAGAGGAGGGGGAGGAGGAGGAGGAGGAGGAGGAGGAGGAGGAGGAGGAGGAGGAGGAGGAGGAGGCAGGAGGAGGAGGGAGGAGGAGGAGGAGGAGGAGGGAGGAGGAGGAGGAGGAGGAGGAGGAGGAGGAGGAGGAGGAGGAGGAGGAGGAGGAGGAGGAGGAGGGGAGGAGGATGAGGATGATGAGGAGGAGACGGAGGAGGAGGACGACGAAGACGACGAGGACGACGACGACGAGGGCGTGGGCGAGGGCGAAGGCGAGGCCGACGACGACGACGAGGACGACGACGACGACGACGACGACGACGACGACGACGACGACGGCGGCGGCGGCGGCGACGACGACGACGACGGGGCGCCCCTGCGGTGCCCACAGCGGGCTGCGCTGGCGGCGGGGGCTGCGCGGGCGGGGGGGGCGCTGGCCCCGCGGGCGGGGACGTCGACCTGAGAGGGCGGGGGAGGCAGTGGAGAATCACTGGGGGGGGGGAGGAGGACAATCGCGTGAGTGACAATTGACGCCACAATGGGAACTTGAAGAGGTGTGGAAGGACGTTGGGCCGTCCTCTAGGGTCGTCTTCGTGGGCCGAGGGTCCCTGGAGGGAGCCCTCGGCCCCCTTCCGGTGGCTTTTGACGCCGTCATGGAAGGTGGGAGCGGGAACCCACGCAGCCCCTATGCTGGAAGCTGCGCGGGTTGTGAAGCTTTTTGGCGGTCCCTCAAGGGCGGGGCGGGGAGGGAGGCATGGGGGGCGAGGGGGAGGGGGGGGGTCGGCAGCGACACGCGGGCTGGAAGGTGTCGGGGGGGGGGGGCGGGGGGAGAGGGCGGCAGATGGGGAGCGAGGCTGCGGAGGGAGGAACGCGAGGGGATGGCGGAGGGAGGAATGCGGGGGGGGGGATGCGCGAGCATCGGGGGGACGCGGAGGGCCGACGCCCCTCGCACGCCCGCGGCGAGGGGGTCCCGAGCCTCCAGCGGCCGGGTCGGGGCCCCTGCCCGCATGGGGGCCTGGCCTCCGCCCGAGGGGCCAGCGCCCTCCCGACCGCGAAGTCGACCACGTCGACAGGGATGGGGGGGGGGGGAGGGGGGAGAGGGCTGGAAGCGGGGAGAGGGTCGGGAGGTGGGTGGGGTGGGGGGGGAGGGGGGTAGTTGGTAGCGGAGGGGGCGGAGGGGGGGTGGAAGGGGTGGGAAGGGGGAAGGGTGTTCGGGCTGGGGGGGGAGGGAGGGAGGGCCCCAAGAGGCCCCAAGAGGCCACGAACGAACGCGCAGGCAAACGCCTGCGATGGCAAAATACGGGCCGGCGGAATGAGCGAAGCGATTAAATCATACGATGCGGTGCACGTGTGTTTACCCAAGATACAGGAAAACAGAAGACACATCCGTTGTGATAGCATACAATGCGTGCCACATGCGTACGTATCGAATAGTACACACCCTGGCCAACCAGTATTGACCCCTCCCGTCGTCCCCGTTAACTAGCACCATTGATCAGTCAAGCGCGTCTTGTAACACCCCCCAGCACAACATACCCACAGGCCCACACGCGCGCGCGACGCTGCGTACAAGCCGACACTACTAAACACAGGGAGTTTTAAACGTATTTCAAGATCGAACTCTCATATGGAACCAATGTATTTCTCAATGGGCCCCATTCAGGTTTCTGGCGCGCGCACGCTTCGTCACTATCCTCACTGTCACCATTGTCATTACCATCGCAAGCGTCATCATTATTGTCATCATATTCATCGTCATCGCCATCGTCATCCTTGCCAGCGTCGTCATCATCGCCGTCATCGCCACCACCATCACTAAGATCATCATCGTCGTCGCCGTCCTCATCACTCGGCCGCCCGACTCAGGGACGAGCATAAAGAGGATTCGCGCGCAGTTGCGCCTCTTAGGACTTGCCATCAGCTTGCAGTGGGTCACTGTACTCACGGCCTGCGGAGTGTTGACAACGAGCAGTGGACGGGGGAGCGCGTGAGTCATGTAGGAAGCTGCATCACGCATGTGCGCCACACGGGTTGCACCCCACAGACTGCAACCTTTGGGCTGCCCCGTGCGCGGAGAACACCACGCATGGCTGCAGATCGAGTGCAACGACCCACCGCCAGGGGCCCGGGCTGGCGAACGTCCTCTTCACGAGGCGCGCTGTGCGCCCCTGCCTCCCCCCGACGACCTCTCCGCCCGCTGGGCGTTCTGGACGTCCGCCAGCGACGGCGGCGCCTGCAGCAGCTCCGCGGTCCGGCGGTCCTGGTGCTGGGCGGGCACCTCAGACGCCCCCCCCCTGCTGCGGCTGCTGGCGGCCGCGGGGATTCCGTCGCCGATCAGAGACGCCCCTCCCCCTCCCGCACCCTCCCGCCGGATGGAGGATGGGGAGGACGAGGTGATCGAGGGGGAGGCAAAGGAGGGAGACACGGAGCTGTGGTTGTGGTTGTTGGATGGTTGTGGTGCGACGTGCTCGGATGTGCAAGGGGAGGCGGAGGACGCAAGAGACGCCCCGCTGGCCGAGAGCCAGACCGGGCGACCCCCCATCCGGGTCGATTGATGCATCAGGGCTCCACGACAAGACCAGGCCCTCCTCCTCGCCTCTTCCATCCGCCTCCTTCCTCCCTCTTCCACCACCCACCTCCAGCCTTATGATGTTCCAACCTACTTTAGCCTTGATCACCAGACAGAATTTCGAGCACCAGGAAAATACCCCCCAAACTTGAGGGTTTTCACGTGCCGGGCCCTGGGAGACACTCTTTCGACACCGTTTCGACCATTTTCTGGGTGCTCGACAATCTTTTTGGGATTGTGCCCTTAAGTACGATGGGAGCAACATAACTCCAACCTCATCGATCTTCCTCCTCTGCCCTCCCTTTCCGCCTCCGCTTCCGCCCGCACCCCTCCTCCGTCTCCCCGTCCTCCCTCTCTCCCCCCTTCCTCCCTCCTCTCCGTCATCCTCCTGTCCATCCTGTCTCTCCTCCCGTTTCCCTCCTTCCCCCTTCCCCTCCTACTTCGCCCATCTGCTCCTCCTCCTCTCACGTCCTTCTCCTGCTGCGCCTCCTCCCCCTCCTCCTTCTCTTCCTCTTCCTCCTCAGCCCCCTCTGGCCGAGGGGCGCCTTGCGGAGTGCGCCGCAGGATCTCTACTTCTCCCCCCCCCGTTCTCCCTCGCCCCCCTCCCTTCCCCCTCCCCCCCCCCTCCCCTCCCCTCTATCCTCTTCTCCTCCCCCCGTCCCTTTCCCCCCATCCCCCTTCCCCGCCACCCCTCCCCTCCACCACCCTCTCCTTCTTTCCTCCCTCCTCCTCTTCGTCCTCGTCCCCGTCCTCCTCGTCTCGTTTTTCTCTCCTCCTCTCCTCCTCCTCCTCCTCCTCTCCTGTGCTTCCCTCTCCTCTCTCCTCCTGATCCTCCTCCTTCTCCTCCTCCTCCTTCTCCTCCTCCTCCCCCTCCTCCTCCTCCTCCTCCTCCTCCTCCTCCTCCTGCTCCTGCTCCTCCTCCTCCTCCTCCTCCATCTCCTCCTCCTCCCCCTCCCCCTTTCCGCCTCCTTCTCCTCCTCTTCCTCCTCCTCCTCCTCTTCCTCCTCTGCGTGACGGCGGGGCCCTCCAGAATCCGGAGGAAGGCCCGCCGCCTTTGCGGACCGCGCCGCACCCGCCGCCGTAGTTTCCCGTGGCGAGGGCACGGCCGATCATGTGGTGCGAGTGCTCGAGAAGGGGTTGACGCTGACTGCAAGCCTCCACGCGCAGCGTCTGACCGTCTGGGACAACACAAAGCTGCTTGCAACCTCTGGCGACGCGCGCCTTCGCCTTAGCCAGAATCTTCGGCGCGATGGCGCGCTTCACTCTCGTGAGCTCGTCTGTGGATTTGGCCTGCGATACGGTTCTGGGAGTTCAGCGTAGCCAAACAAAACAAACACACCCACAACTCGAATGGCGAACACTACTAATCGATTCCAGGCGGTCCGGAAGATGCGGCGGCAAACTCTCAAGGATTTCGAGCTCCCTCCAAACTTAGATCGGGCATGTCCCCCTACAGGCTCAAACAATAACCCGCAATAATCAAAAGATCGTCCCCAGACTACTTTTTTGACTATTTTAAAATTTCTCTCCTGTGGAGGGACAGGCCCGACTTAACTCCAGGCCACAGGGGCCCTTCCTCAAGCCGCCTGCGGCCATCAAGTGCACGGCGTGCCCTCGAGTGCGGTGCAGGTGCTCGGGAGGAGCAGGCCGCCCAGCTGTCGCGGGGAAGGGCCCAGGCAGATGCCTCACAGCTGTGCTCTTAGGTCGGGCACGTCCCCCTGCAGGGGGATCTTGGACGAAAAATCAAACATACCCCAAACATACTCCAAGATAGTCAGAAAATGCTCGAACAGTCGTCCCGATACGATTTTTTTACTATTTCTGAATATTCCTCCTGCAGAGGGACATGCCCGAGTTAACTGTACGCTCTCTGCGTTTGGGTCAGCGCGACTCCGCGATGGAGCTTCACGTCAGTTGGTTCTCGATTCTCGAGTCTTCATGATTGCTTTGGAGGTCGTCGCCGAACCTGCATCCCAGGATCAAGCGAGCTTGGAAGTTCCTCGCCCCTGGGCTGTGACAGGACGCCGCTCGTTGGAACTGGGGCTTGAGACCCAGTCGGGGCCGTCATTGCTGCCCTGTGTGGGGCGGGGTGGGTCCCCTCAGCGTCGCACTCGTGGCGTAGGCCCGTCCAGGATGCGAGCGCGGTCTGGCGCCTTCCCCGGGCTGACGCGCCCGGTTTCGAGGAGGGCGATGCCGATGTCTGTGCACTGCGAGACGCGCCTTCCATCCCGGGGCCTGCCGTCCCGCGCGGCTCCGGATCGGAGGGTCCGCCGCCTGCTTCCCGAGGCACCGTCCTGTCTCGGCGTCGGCGCGCACATGTTCCTGCACGAACTTTTCAGGTACGTCTTCACCATTCCGTTTCCTGCCGATGCGCCGTTAGGGCGCGGCTCTTGCCTGCCTTGCCTGCCTGCCTGTCGTCCCGTCTCTGCGCTCAGGCGGCTAACCATTCTGAGGGGCCTGGCCTGCGGCTGGGTGGGGGCGACTCGTGGTCGGCTGGGAAGGAGATCGAAAGATTCGTGGCAGCCAGCGAGTTCGACCGAGTAGGTGTTGCAGAAAGCTGCTCTTAGGCGGCCAACGGACTAGGGCCCGACAGGCCATGTTGGGGTATGGAATTGAGGGAACTTGCCTACTTTGCAAGCAAAAATTCGAATCTCTACACCGTCGAATCCGGTCTTGTCCATGTGATGTCGGCTTCGCAACGTTTGACAACAGCCAGTCCCTCAGTAGCCAGGCCGCGGCTCAATTTGAGCAGTGTCCCGCGCTTTGGCTCCGAGGGGTTGCGCCTGTGGATTTTACTCACCCGCCAAGCCACCCCGAGGAGAAGCTGGACGCTCACGGCCCCATCCCGATCGCGTCGACCCGCCCTCATCCCAGCTTCGGGCGTGTGGCGGCTTTCGGAGACGGGCCGGACTTGAGGCGGCGGTGGTACGGGACGGCAATTGTCACCATGTTGGAAACTTGCGGGTGGCTTATCTACCAAAGACGGGGCGAGGAGATAAACTGTCTCTCGTTCAGGATTGCTCGATTTCGCGCTCGCCTTGGAACATATCCAGCAATCAATACTGTTTGTCAGAAGCCACGAGCCTTAGGTCACGTCTTGGAATAGCGGCCAACATTTCCAGAAACATGGCGTTCATCACGATTTGTGGTCCAAAATCCGTGTTGGAATCCAATCTCGGGTCACTGGTGTAAGCTTGAAATGGGTCCCCTCTCACCTGGATGCGTCTCCTGAGGGAACAGCCCAAGTGGACCCCTTTCTTAGGCGAGCGCGTTCCGCTACTCGCAAAGTCACTACTCGCAAATTGCCTGTATCCGCCGTTGGGTTTTACGATACATTACATCGAGGCGAACGTGGGTTTTTCGGACGTTTTCGAGTAGGCACTCTGCGAGTAGTGGAACGCGCTCGGCGATTTCTCATTCAGGGCAATGCCCTGGCTGATGCTGAGGCGAGTGCGGCGGCCGAGAGGGGGTGGGGGGAGTCTTCCTGGCAAGGCGAGCCTTGCACGGACCACGGGAGTGCGGTGGGCACCCCGGTCCGCGCGAGGGCACCCTGCTCTCGCCTCCGCCGCCGACCCATAAGAGTGGGGTGCGGCAGCGGCAGGAGCGTCGTCCCGCCCCGTCGGCCCTTCGAGAGATCTGAACACGTTGTCGTTCGTTTGCGGGGCGACGTGGGAGCGCAACAGTGGCCCCAGGATGGTCCCGCAGTCGCTAGCGATCCTTGCTGCCGCCCCTGTTTGCACAGGCTCCCCCGTGGCAGGCGAACTCTCGGCGGGTGCGAATGCAGACTGCGCAGGCGGGCGGGCTATTCATCCCTCTCACGCTCCTCAGAGGTGGGAGAAATAGATGCTCACGTTGTGTACCACGTGTGGGAAACATGGCACAGTTGACGGCAGACAGCTTGCCGCAAAGCGCCAACTGTCTGCATGTAGCGGCAGGTGGGCTCCCTGGCTCGGGCGGTCGTTTCGCCCTGCTTCCCCCCCTTTCCTCCCCTGCCTTCCCCCCCTCTCTCTCTGGCGCACGCTCCCCACGCTCCCAGGCTTGGTCAAAAGGTCCAAAAAGAACCTCCTCCTCCTCCTCATCCTCCTCCTCCCCATCCTCCTCGTTCTCCCCCTTCTCATCCTCCTCGTCGTCGTCCACTCGTCGTCCTCTTGTCCTCCTCTCGTCGTCCTCCTCCTCCTCGACCTCGTCGTCCTCCTCGTCCTCGTCGTCCTCGTCCTCGTCCTCGTCCTCCTCCTCCTCCTCCTCGTCCTCGTCCTCCTCGTCCTCCTCGTCGTCGTCGTCGTCCTCCTCGTCGTCCTCCTCGTCCTCGCCGTCCTCGTCGTCGTCGTCTTCGTCGCCCCCTCCTCCGCCAGGGCGCCGAGCCCTGGTGGGCGTCCCCGGCCACGGGGCGCCCTCGCCCGGCACGCCGGCGGCGAGCACGACGACGAGGACGAGGAGGACGAGGAGGACGAGGAGGAGGAGGAGGACGACGAGGAGGACGACGACGACGAGGACAACGACGACGAGGAGGAGGAGGAGGACGACGACGAGGACGACGACGAGGAGGAGGAGGAGGACGACGACGACGAGGACAACGACGAGGAGGACGACGAGGAGGACGACGACGACGAGGACGACGACGACGAGGAGGACGAGGAGGAGGAGGAGGACGACGACGACGACGACGAGGACAACGACGATGAGGACGACGACGACGACGATCTGAGGCCCGATCGGACGCCGTCGTGGGGCGGGGCCTCCCGGGGCGGGCGCTGGGGCGGCTGGCCTCGGCAGGCGGGAGCGGGGGAGGGAAGGGGAGGGGAGGGGAGGGTGTGCGTGTGTGCGTGTGTGTGTGTGTGTGTGTGTGTGTGTGCGTGTGGAGAGGCTGAGGCCGTTGATGATTGTGAAGGTGACGGCGACGATGACATGACGAGGACGATAACGATGGCGACGATGACGATGCTGATGATGACGGAGACGATGATGATGACGATGATGATGATGCTGATGATGATGATGATGACGATGCTGAGGACGATGACGACGATGACGATGGCGACGACGACGGTGACGGTGACGATGATGATGCTGACCATGGTGATGATAATAATAATGATGCTGATTATGATGATGGTGATGATGATGCTGATGTTGAGGATGGTAATGATGATAATGATGATGCTGATGATGATGCTGATAACAATGCTGATAACCATCCTCATGATGACGATGAAGAGGATGGTGAAGCTGATGATGATGATGAGGCTAATGTCGACGATGGAGACGATGTTGATGCTGCTGCTGATGATGATGCTGATGTTTATGATGATGCTGATGATGATGGTGCTGATGATGATGATGGTGATGACGACGCTGACGATGACGATGACGATGTGGATGATGGCGGCGGCGATAAGAACGACGAGGCTGACGATGTCAATGACGATAATGCTGGTGGCGATGCTGCCGATCATCATGGTGACGGTGGTGGGAGGATGGATATGAAGAGGACACGGATGAGTAGTTCGAGGATTGCGGATACGACGGTGCCGGATAATCTCCTCCTGAGGCGCATTGAGGAGGAGGAGCAGCAACTGAATGATAATCAAGATGATCATGGTGATGGTTATGAGGATTGGGCGACCAAAACAACCCCACGTTACATCAACGATGCTGCACTATACTCTCTCGTTCCAATTTCCTCGCAAATCCCATTAACAATTCAGTCGAACACGCCGTTTCGAAAACGAGCCGCGCTCCATCACTGCAACTTGTGAACAACGTTTGACTTACGTTCGCAATGTTCGGAAGAAATCTTAGCCGATAGCCCCATGCGGAAACCCAACCATCCTCCATCCGTGTAGCTGTTGCGTCAAGTTTAGCTTCTGGTCGTACTGTTTGACGACGCCTCATGCGAGAGTTCCACTTTGAAGACGAAACGCCTCAATATGCGTACCAATTGAATCCGTGAATCGCGTATGTGCGTGCAGCTGCAACTATCCGTGCAGCCGTTGTAACATGTCCAATTGCATTTGCACGACGGGAGGGCGATAACAACATGTCGAAACCGATTCGCACTTTATCCACGCAGTCGCTGGCACATGTTCAAGCGAATGTGCGTGGCGCGACATCGGACACCACATAACAAACACGACTCGCCCTACGACCTTGTGACTGTGAGACGCGTTAAAACCGATTGTGCGCGGCAGCGTTGAGAGAATCACATGTTGAATACACATCGGTTTCCATCAGAATGCCGCTTTTGCAACGAATGTGCGTGGCGCTAAGGCGGGAACCACATTTTGAAAACGACTCGCATCCCTCGCCTCCCCCCACCCGTGTAAGTGCTGGGAACTTGCAATGCGCATGTGTGCGACGCCATGACGAACATCTAACTTTGGAAACGGCCCACCCATCATCAATGTAAACATTGGGAATTTCAAAGTTCAAATCATACATGGCAGCCAAGTCTCATGCGGAACGTCCTGAGCGCCCTTCCGACACGTATGTGATGCGACGAGGATGACCTACCAGGTATGACGAAGATGAGGGAGGAGATGGAGGAGGGAGCAGGCATAATGAAGATGATGGTGATGATGATGGTGCTGCTGATGATGCTGCTGATGATGATGCGGATGATGACTATGATGATGACTATGATGATGACGACGATGAGGATGCTGCTGATGATGATGATGATGATGATGATGATGATGATGATGATGATGATGATGATGATGATCATGCTGGTGGTATCGGTAATGACAATGATGACGATGATCCTAATGCTGATTATGCCGCTCATGATGATGATCACGATGAGGGGCAGGAGGGTGATGATAATGGAGGAAGGAACGAGGGAGGGAGGAATAAGGAGGACGAGGAGGAAGGATGGAAATAGGAGGGAGGAATGAGGAGGACGAGGAGGAGGTAGGGAAGGAAGAGACGGATGATGACGATGACGATGACGATGACGATGACGATGATGATGCTGATGATGATGATGATGATGATGATGATGAGGAGGAGGAGGAGGAGGAGGCCCAGGAGGGTGGTGATATGAGGGAGGGGGGAGGAGGAGGAGGAGGAGGAGGAGGAGGAGGAGGAGGAGGAGGAGGAGGAGGAGGAGGAGGACGAGGAGTAGGAAGAATGGACGAGGAGGATTGAGGGAGTTTAGGCCTTGGTTTGCTCATGGTTTTTGAAAACTTTTAAAAATGGTTGGGCCGTTACGGAAATATTAGGAGGGATGGGCAAGTGGAGGATGAAGAGAGGGTGGAGGGAATGAGGAGGAGGGGGGGAAGGGAGGGGGGGGGGGGGGGAGCAGGGGAATGGAAGTCTTGGGACCTCTCCCCCTCCTCCCTTCCTGCTCCTCCATCATCTCAACTCCCCATCCAACTCTACCTTTATCTAATCCCCCCTTCCTCCTTTCCTTTTCTCCTCCTCCGATTCCTCCTCCCTTCTGCTCCTCCTCCCTTCTACTCCGCCTCCTCTTCCACTATCCTCCTCTTTGATGATCCCTTCCTCATCCTCTCCATTCTTCTTATTCTTCTTCTTCTCCCTCCTCCTCCTCCTCCTCCTCCTCCTCCTCCTCCTCCTCCTCCTCCCCCTCTGCGTGGTTTCTCTTTCAGCTCGGGGGCGGGACGAGAGATGGCCCGGAGACTTGGGAGTCCAAGCGAGGCCAGAGGCGACCCCGTGGTCCTCTCAGATGGCAGAGCTCAAGGGCTCTATACAGTCCGCCCCCCAAAGGTCAGCAATCACACAGGCCAGACTGGGGAGTGCGCTCACAGCCCTGGAAACTGGACTTAGGTCGCGCGTGTCCCACTGCAGGGGGATTTTGGGCGTCAAATTAAGAAGAGTCAAAAAATACCCCCAGATAGTCAACAAAAAATCCAAAAATAGTCCCCATACTATTTTTTGACTGTTTTTGAAGATTCCTCCTGTAGGAAGACACGACCGACTTAATACTGGACATCTGGCGGCTCGCGACAATCGAGGCGCCCGGCTTGTCGTCATTCTCTGCTCCCGGAAACCCTCCTCGTACCCTGGGACCGTGCAAAAATAATCCGGGATGAAACACATCGTCCTCTGGAACGGGTCGAGACTTCAGGAGGCCCCTGCATTGAACAGATCACGAGGCGTCTGATGTCTGGGGCCCTGGGGCGCAGAGCGCACTGGCGGGCGCCAGCGGCGGCGGGACTGGATGCTGAGATCATCACGTGCGCACGCATCAAACGACTTGCCGTCGCTCGGACGGACGTCAATTTCCCGTACACTTTTAGGTTTCGTGCGTTTTTTTTGATTTTGTTTGTTGTTTTTGTTTTCATTTATGATGATGATGATGATGATGATTATTATTATTATTATTCTTATTAGTATTAGTATTATTAGTATTATTAGTATTAATATTATTATTATTGTTCTTCTTCTTCTTCTTCTTCTTCTTCTTATTATTATTATTATTATTATTATTATTATTATTATTATTATTATTATTATTATATATATATAAGTTTTTTTTGCTCGATGGTCCACGATGGTCCTCAATGGTTCTCGCAGAGAAAAACACACACACGTGCGAGCGATGCCAAGACGAGGAGCTCGAGTGCCAGCCCGTGCCCCGCGGAAAGTCCCTGCTCGGCCCTGGGGGTCCACGGGCATGCCGGGGTCCACGGAGCAAGGCGCCCCCACAGTGGCTCCTCCGCCAGTGTGCCGTGGAGCCTCCTCGTGTGCCCAATATGAAGGGGCCCCGGGACACACAAATATATAAACACAAATGACAGGCCCCCCCGTATTTTTTCAATGTTTTCTGGGTTTTTGTCTTCCCCCCGCTTCCCATAGTTTCCCATATTTTCGTGGGAATCGGCGATTCATTGTGTCTGTGTGCTTTATCCCCTCCCGACAATAGCCCTCCGTACTGAATGCTGAATCTTCCAGGTTGGATGCTCGCGGTCAACGGCCACAAACTTCTGGGCGTCCCGGGCGTCCCGCGCAACTTACCCCCCCTCGCGACCTGTCTGGAGGCGCTGGAAGCGGCCCTGGGGGCCCAAACCTTCCGGCGTGCCCTCGCATATGGCCCCGGGGGGGGCCCGCCCCGGATCCGCCTCGGGAATCCCCCCCGCGCGACCTGTCTGGAGGCCCTCGGAAGCCCTCGGGAGGCCGGGCCGGGAAGCCCAGACCGCAAACGAGGCAGACAAGCGTTGTGCTTTGAGTCGTTGCTTTTTCGGTCTTCAGGGCGCCCAGCACGACCTCAAGGCAGCCCCCGAGGCTCCTCCTCCTCCTCCTCCTCCTCCTCCTCCTCCTGGGCATCGTCGTCGCCGCCGTCGTAATCATTGTCGTCGTCGTCGTCGTCGTCGTCGTCGTCGTAATCATCGACGCGACGGGGTCTGGGCAAAGCAGGGCGAGCGCGCGCTTCGCAAGATCGCCTGAAGGCAGCCCCCGAGACTCCTAATAGGAGCCCAGGAGGCCTCCAAGGCCGGCCCAGGAGAGTTCCCGATGGGCGCGTTGCCGCCAGACCGCTGACAGCCCCACTTCCAAGATGGGCCCAATACCACCCAGAGGCCCACAAGAGGCCCCCCCCCGCCCTCCCAACAAGCCCTCGAGAAGGCCCCCAAAGGCGTCGAAGATAATCCCAGGAGGCCCGCAGCCGCAATATCCCCGACCATGTTCATATTGCGCCTCGTGCCCACAACCCAGGCACGGCTGTGGGATGGGCCGAAGGGCACTAGAAACCAACACTTCTTGTCGTATGTACGTATCTGCCTATCCTCTTTTGTTGACAATCTCTTTCTGGAATTCGTCCAAACAGATGCGCCTCGACTCCCGAGAACGAGCAACCCAGAATACACAGGACGAACCCAGGCCCCCAGCTTCACATGAAAACCTCACTCACATGCGGTGGGGGCCATAACAACTCTGAGCGGCAAGGCTGCACTTGAGCTGGATTTGCGATGAAATCCTCCACCGCTTTGACAGCTCCCTCGGGATCTTCAGTCCACGACGTGTGCCAACGGAGGCCTCTCTTCCCCAGTGCTTGCTTCCAGTCTGGTGTCTGGCCGAGCCAATGCAACAATGACTCGTGCCCATACCGCGAAACGTTTTGTGCAACTTCGGCGTAATTCACAACACTCCGCAATTTGCCAAGCAACGTCTTAACGTAACCGCCCATGTGCGTGTGCCCGGCTAAATTCTGCATCTCGTCTGGGTCAGCAGTCAAATTGAAGAGCTGATGTGGATGCTGCTCACCAGTTCCCCACACCACCAACTTCAGGCCGTTGTGGACCACCATAAACCAGCTCATTGCAATGTCATCCCCGTGGAACTGTGATACTATGAAATCAGGTCGACCCTTTGGATCATGCGGCCGTCCGGTGTTTCGTAGCAAAGTCTGCACGGGTGCACCATCGAGCTCAGGCCACCGCTCAACGGGGATTCCAGCATATGTCAGCACGGTCGGGAATATGTCAATCAGCTGCGTCACACCATGGATCTCCACCCGCTGAGGACGTTGCTCTCGCCCATCCATTATCACCATTGGCACGCGAGCGCTTGCGTCGTATGGAACCATCTTATAAAATTGCCGGTGCTCCATCTGCATATCCCCGTGGTCAGAGGTGACGATGAACACAGTGTTGTCATGCTTACCAGAATCCCGCACCGCTTTCAAATACTCGCCGACCATTGCGTCGAATTCGGCGATCATCGCAAGATAGATGGCGCGAATGCGCCGACGATGAGCTTCCTCGTAGAAGTACAACCCAGTTGCACTGGATGGCGGCGGGAGGCAGCCCTTCAACATGGAAGACTGGAAATCGCACGGATGCATCTCTCCCAGCGGGCCCCATTTAGGTACTCGCACTTTACTTATATCCACCTTATTCAACCAGAATTCGTTGGTCGAATAAGGCGGGTGCACGATTTCCATCCCTTGAAAAACGAAAAAAGGCCTTGGATCTACGCTTGCGTTCGCCCGGATCCATTTCACTGTAGACCGCAGCGACGCCCAATCACCAGCATGGGCTGAAACATTACCAGGAAGCACGGTGCCTTTGTCCACACACCCATCTTCGTCGACCCAACCACCGTTACCCTTGCTGATATTGTACGGGAAGCGCGTGTACATCGTCCACGCACTCAGCCTCACGTTCTCGCTATGGGAGCCCGCCGTGTAGTCAAGTTTTCCTGACATCTGAACGTTGTAACCATTTTCGGCCAACACCTGATCCAATCGAAGAGTATAATTTGGAGGTAACCCTTCATAATTGTTCCATGCCCCCTGTACGAAGATGCCGGATGATCTTTGGTTGTGCGGAATGTTGTGGGCATGGCGACCCGACCAAAATGTGGCGCGGCTTGGGCAGCACACAGGTGCATTGGCATAGTGGCTGGTGAACTCGTATCCTCTATCTTGGAGCGCTCGGATATTCGGCAACGACACCGCTCCGTTCTGGTAGTTGCGCCCAAACGCGCGGCCATCTGTGGACTCGACAACCAAGAACACAACGTTGCGCCTGCCCATGTCTGTGGCACCGTCAGAGGTTTGGGCGCCCGCCACGACTAAGACAAGTATGTCGGCTGCATGACACTTTCCCATGCAGGCCACCGCCAAGGTGTGGCACGGGGAAGTGAGCCAGCCCGTGATCCAGACCTTGCGCCCAAACAACTTGAGCCAAAATGGCTACGGCACGTATCTGTCGTGTCCTGTGGGCCTGGCTGCTCCAAGGGCTGCCCGTGTGCAGCCCCGAGCCCTCACCGACGCCCGACGTCCTGAAGAATCCCCACGGCCTGAAACATCACGACCCAAAGCCTTGACCTCACCTTCGTGCCCGGCTCTGTCTGAGCCGTGAGCGGCCCCGGCCTCGACACGGAGCGAAGATGTCGGTCGTGCTTTTTCTGTGCCGCCCGCAAGCCGGTTGCAGGCCATGACTCCGCACAGAACTGAGCCCCAGGGCCCTCTCCAAGGCACCAGTCGGGCCCGTTCTCCGCGCCGCGCCCGTCAGCGGCGACGAGGCGAAGGCCCCCGAAGGCCAGGCGATCCCCGGGAACCGCCGCCCTCCGAGGCCTCTCGAGCGCACCCGAAGCCCTGCAGGGCCCGTGCCCCCATCCGAGCTGGCCCGAAACCTCTACGTGCCCTCTGCTTCGACGGTTCGCGTTCTTCGTGACATCTGCCCCCGAGGTCGGCTCCGCCCAGGGGCTTTGTTTTGTCATTCCGAAATGTTTTTTTGACGGCCCTGGAGCCTGGGAGTGGCATCTGGAGGTCGCCGCGCAACGTCCGACCGCTCGTGGAGCGGCTCGCCCCACAAACGAGGTGGACATACAGCTACTACTGCACGTGCATACCAACACACGCCCTCCAGAGCGATCAAGCATCACGCGGGGCGCCCGGTTTCTCGCCCGCTCGGCCCGGGCGGCTTCAGCTCGGGCTGGAACACCCCCTGGCCCACCTGCGGGGATGGAGGGGGGCAAGGGGAGGATGGTGGGGAGGGGGTGCAGGGAGGGGGGCGGGAGAGGAAGATGAGGAGGAGGAGGAGGAGGAGGAAGAGGAGGAGGAGGAGGAGGAGGAGGAGCACAAGGAGGAGGAGGAGAAGGAGGAGGAGGAGGAAGAGAAGGAAGAGGAGGAGGAGGAGTAGGAGGAGGAGGAGGAGGAGGAGGGGCACCAGGCACGATACAGGCCTGGGCGGTTGGAGTGTTTTTTTTCCAACGAAGCAGCGAACAATATCTTTTCGTAATCCACACGCAGTAAATATATGTGTATTCGACTCAGAAAAAAACCTTTTCCATTCCACTCAAATGAATCCTTTTGTGTTCCACCACTAAGGGAATACTTTTGTGATGACCTAGTTCTTTTGACGGCGGAAGACCGAGTTCGGAATGCAAGCGAATTCCTTTGTGGCAGAATGCAACATGATCCCAGTTGTGGCGGAATGCAAAAGCATTTTCTTTGTGGCAGAATGCAAAAGCATTCCTCTTGTGGCGACATACCAAAATATTCCTTCTGCGTTGAAATACAAAGGAGTGCAACAGGAATCCTCTTGTGGCCAAATTAGAAAAAAAGTTCATTATGGCGAAATACAAAAGGATTCCCTTTGTTGCAGAATGCTACAGGGTTCCGCAAAAAAATCCGCGCAACGGCCACCTCGCAACCGGAAGCTGCTGCCTACACGGGTGGCGCCCCGTGAGGCAGCGGGGCCGGCGCCGCCTCCACCTCGACCTCGACTGGCGGCGCCCTGGGAGGGAAGGCCTCTCGACCCGCTCGACCTCCGGCTCCAGAGCCTCAACCTCCACCTGGGGCGCCCTGGGAAGGAGGGAAGCGGGCAGCGCGCCCGGGGCCGCCGCCACCGGCGCCGCATCCCCGACCTCCACCAGGCTACGCCCAGGAAGGAGGGATCCTTGTCCCTCGGAGGATGCGGTGCGCCGGCGCCGCACTCGGACAGCGACGGTACCGCTGGCGCCTCGCCGGCGGCGTCCGCTGCCGGCGGCGCCGATTGCGCCTCGAACGCCCTGCCCCATGCCTTCCCTGCGGGGAACGCGGCAGCACCTGGCGGGGAGGTGTCGCCACCGTGGCGGCATCGGAATCCGTCCGTGCTGGCATTTCCCCCGGCGGCGACCCCCCCTCCCCGCTCACGGAAAGAATCCTTGTGTATTTCGCCTTAGAAGGGGTCCTGTGGTACTCCGCTACCAAAGGGTTGGTTCCCTTGTCTTTCCGCCACAAAGGGAGTCCTGTTGTATTCTGCCACAAGAAATCCGGGTGTCTTGTGCAACAAAAATAACGCTTCTGTTTTCAACCGCAGATGCACGTTTTTTTTTTTTTTTTTTTTTTTTTTTTTTTTTTTTTTTTTTTTTTTTTTTTTTTTTTTTTTGTTTTTGTTTTGTTGCAATCCGGTGCAACAGTATTAGGTGCAAAAGTATTACTTTTGTAGTCAGCTGCATAAATAATCATTGTGCACTCCGCCGGGAAAAAAAATGCGCGTTGCACGAATATTCCGTTGTGGTGGGGTAGTACAGGTAAAATTAAGTGGGAGGGAAGAAAGTTTATCTTTGAGTGGAATGCACATATATTTCTTACGTGGCGGATGGCAGAAAAAGGTATTTTCGCTACTTCCTGTGATAAAGAACTTAACCCGCCCTGGCCTGTATCATGCCTGGTGCGGGAGGAGGAGGAAGAGGAGGAGGGCAGGGAGGAGAGGGAGGAGGGATGGACTAGTAAGAGGGAGGAGGGATGATGAATGCTGAAGCAGGGGGTAGAAGAGGAGGAGGAGGGAGGGAGGGAAGGACCGAGAGATGGGAGGAGAAGAGGAGGAAGGGGAGGAATATTAGATGCAATCTCATGGTATGTACTGAAGAAAACGAGTCAGTACTAATCTGGTAATGGCACGAAGCTGGTGCAACACGTATTCTTTCGAAGAGGGGTGCAACATGAGAGGGATGCGGAGAGGAAGGGAGGCGGACAATATTACTGTCCAGGATGATGCGATTGCCAACGTGGACCTCAAACTGCGAGTTTGTGGTGGAAACTATGTGATGCAACCTATGCGGGGGAGGCCATATGGTGCTGTATGGTGCAAGCTATGTGGTGCAAGCTCGGCAGTGCAAGCTATGTGGTGCAGTGCGCGTATGTGGTGGAAGCCATGTGGTGCAGCCGGCGCACAAGGCGCCCACGAAGCGCACCACACGTGCGGCCACTCCGCGGAAACCCGGCCGCCCACGCCAGCGCACGAGGCGCCCACGGAAGCGCCCATGGGCGTCCACCGAGCGAACGCCTGGAACCGCCAGCCAGCGCGCGAGGCGACCACGAGGCGCCCCCGGGCGGCCACCGCGCGAAACACCCAGAGCCCTCAACCAGCGAAGGAATCGCCCACGAGGCGCCCACGGGCGGCCACTGGGCGATAAACCCAGAACCGCATGTCCACCGAGCGAGTAGAAGCCAGGAGCTGGCCCCCATGAGAGCAGAGCGCTGTATTTGGGAAGGGAGAGGATGAGGATGGAAGAGCTCCTCCCCCACATCCTCCTCACACTTCCTCGTCCTCGTGCCCCTCGCTCCTCCCCCAACTCCTCGCTCCTCGCTCCTCCTCCCTCTCCTCCTACTCCTCCTCCTGCTCCCCCTTCTCCTCCTCCCCCTGCCC